AAATCATGGAACGCCATTGGTTTGACTTTCTACTTTATTTCGCGGAACGCATTAATGCGTTGCGAGTGCACGTGATATTTTCGAAAGGTCTGTAACAGCTGCTGCTGCTGTTCGATAAGCTTAACGACAGAGACAACAAGGTAGATGGGCGATTCGCACTGTTAAAGGACGATCTGCCGAAATTTCAGAGAGACACGATTCGATCAATAACTGTGGGATAATTTCTGCGCCTGACACACTGCATTCGGGTTTGCGAAAAGGCTATGAGAGGAATAAACGAGTGTAACAAGAGGCATAAGAAGAGTGAAGAACGAAGAGAGAAAGAAGATGGAAAGAAAGGTCCGAAGCAGGTCGGACCGCATTCTCGAACCGGCGTGAGAGCTCACCATCCAACATGGCGTCCTCTCTTCTCTCTCTCTCTCTCTCTCTCTCTCTCTAGACATCCAATATGGCTACCGCACGATCTTCAATTTGCCATATGCTTGAAAAAAAATACTACCACTTACGTTAAGTCTCTCTGATACATTTCAATGACGTATAAACGTTGAGAAATTTAAGTTAAAATAGAGATGCATATATCAATTATATCGCCAAGAAACGATACCTCTTTTATTCGATATATTCTTGGGAAACACTGCACCCACGTGGAGAAAACGTGGTCGACTGCAGAATTCCAGCTGCGAGACCGAGAGACGCGGTTGATTTTTCACGTGGAGCAACGGCCGGGACAGAAAAAAAAGAAAATCACGAGTGTAGAGGAAAATGAAATAAGCCCAATATAAATGTGAAAATTAAAGTACGTGAAAGTAAAACCGAAATAGGGCACAGTCTGTTCGAATGAAGTTGCACATGTCACGGAACTATCTCACAAGGATTATCGGCGGTGTCGGAGCATGGAATTATAGATCGCATGTAAATTCATTTGATTGAAATCAATGACGCCCGACATATTTGAAATTGAAGTAAAACCAGATACTTTTCTGCGGAACTAGGCGCTGTCGTGCTATGAATGCATCGGGGATGCTTCGTTACGTTACTACAAAATGGTCGACACGCCCGGAAAATCCTTAAAGTCTCGCACGCGGTCTTTCCACCGCTTTCTAGCATTTTCCAAAGGTACGGTCGTCGTTCCATGAATCACGATGTCTTTCCGACCGACTCTCGATACTCGAAAATGAAAAAATGAATCCTAATTGATTAAAGAATTTCGATCGAACACGTTTATGTATGCTGCACCGAGTTAATTTGAAGGTTAAACCGACATAACGGTTGCAGTTTCCAGACAGAATAATAAATTCAACGAGAAAATACATACATACATATTGATACGTGAATATCCCCTCTGCGTCTCGTGGCAGCTTCACACTTCCGCCTTAATGAATCGTCATGGGCTCGTGAGACTCGTTGAGAGTCGCGTTAAAACACTAATAAATAGCAACACTATATATACACAATAAACGAAGTGAAAATCTCGCGCGAGATACACTCGTGTTATAAAGTTTAATAATTAAAAAAACAAAAAGTATCAAGATCACATTACGTAAAAAAAATACACGCGTTATATGTACAATTCTTAGGGAGTGCTACTGGAGCACGTTTCACATGGGTTAGATAGATTAGAGTTTAATATCTAGGAGTAAGAGTATTTAAGCGTAATCGTTTGAGTTGCAGGGAGTGGCGTTATTAGTGCGGGAGAGTATGGTTAATGCTTGTGGGGAGGAGGTTTGGGTACGTTTTTAGAGTTTCACGGGGATGATTTGACGAATATTGGAGAAAGGAGGGTTTGAAAACACGGAGTAGCGTGGCACTGGGTAGCGCAGCACGTGCTGGCCTCTGAGGAACTTGGAATTCACGGTGAGGAAGGAACCGGCATTTCTCCCACTACCGAGTAGACACTTCGGCCACTTCCGACGGCATTCGGCCTTTTTCGACCGATGAATCGTCAGCGTGTTCGGCAACCATCGGAAGCCTTCGGCTTTTCTCCAGTCGTAGGACAAATACCTTCGTGTTTGAACGCAACGAACGGGGAAAGAGACACGAAAAAATGCCGACGCGTTTATACATGGATGTATAGAATTTGTCAATGTAATAAGTCGCATTTCTCTGTTAGCAGGCCGTGTTACTTTACGAAAGATTAGTTCTTTAACTAATATGGGCTACACTACGATGTTCCATGAACGCCTCCATTTTTCTAAAGACCGTAGAAAACACTTCGGTCTCGAGATGTTGAAATAAAGGAATTATATTTTGGATTGATTTCTTCACGCTTTACCATGCTGACTCGTAAAGATTCGAGGGGGTACCGATGATGGCTACTGTTACTAACCGAACGGGCATGAATAAATTTATGTATTTGTTTGTAGGTACACCCGACGGCTGAAGTCGGCGAGGAAGTCTGCCATATTTGATCACGACCCACCCGCCGCCATATTTACGTTTAAGACCCATGATCCGTGGCTAAGGCGAATATGAAGAAATTTGAACGCACTGCAGTGGCAGCGAACGGCAAGATATATCGTTGAAGCAAAAATTGCCGAATAACGCAGAAAAGAGTTACACAGACTTGATATACGAAAAGTTAGTGATTTTCTATGAGGACTCACCCTTCTTTTTATTGTTCCCCATATTGCCGATACAAGGCATGCTGTTGCGTATAAATGAAATGATAAAGAAAGAAGCAGATAAACTTCTTCGAGAATTTTACGGCACAAAATTCAAAATCGACACCACAATATTTAAAATTGCACAGTCCGTTCGATCCCAATATGGCACAAACGTATTAATGACACAATTTTAAAAAATTCCGGGGCGCCAAATTAAAAAAAATATTATTTCAATCGACTAAACCCCAACACTGCAAGTCATCACTTGGAAGCCCATGGATTCTTTGCTCTTTGATAATCCTTAGTCCAGCAATGAAGAAAACATCGATAAAACATCGCAAACGTTCAACGAGTGCATACGAGATTATTTTCAGTACGTAGAGCTTTCTAGTTAATTTCACTGATAATTTCACTGTCTATTAAAGATGCACTTCGAATACTTGGTACCTCGACTAGGCAATATAACTACCACGAAATTGCACAACACAATGAAACAAAGTATAAAGAGCTTGAATGAGGCGATTATTAAAAAGATTAAGATACGATTGGATGAGACTAATTTAATTAAAAGAAAAGAAATAACCGGGTAACATTACAAATGGCGACCAGCGCCACGTGTTTTCGCTAAAAGTCACTACCGTTCCTCGTACATACAAGAAAGGCACGGTACACGTGAATCCTTTGTGCTAGAGGATCTAAAACTAATGGGACTATGATTCCTCTCAAAAATCCCCTAGCAGTTAGGTAACAACCCTGATTATCAAGGATTTATCGACAAAACCGATAATAAGAACTGAATACAATTTGCTTAAGGGGACAAGACACGAAGGACACTATCGAACCGAGCGAACGACCGTTATTCACTAAACTTCCAGAAATAGTTTCGCGTTTGAGAACGAGGGGCGGTTCCGTTCTTATAATTTCACACAAGAGGAAAAAAAGCGATCGACTAATGATTACTTTACTATCTAATACATAAGCTACAGTATAAGGAATCGTTCTCTATTTCAAAATATCGCCACAAGTTCTGATATGCTAAAGGTCGTAAGCGAAGCTCGTTCGAAGAAAAACTGCCCTTCGAGAATTAGAAACAGAAAGATAAACAACAGAGCCCAACAAAGGAGGTTGTATATGAGCAGATATATATAGTCATACGAAAAGGGACTTTTGTAGAGTCGAGTATATATATCTTTAAATACAAAAACGTATATGACAAGTATCCACACAGCTAAAACTCCAGCTATTCTAGACGCGATACGTATCCAACGGGATTAATATGGGAAATTATTGATTTCAACCTATCATAAGGAGAACCACCCTCTATCTCTATGTAATCGTGTGCTAATCGCAGTGAAGTCAAAGTTCATGAAGTTTATAAGGTATCAATCCCTTTGGCGAACGATAACAAAACTAATGAGAATCACGTCCGATGAACGTAACACGACGTATCTTGTGTTTCCTATAAGCTCCAGAAAGTTCGCGGGTAGCCATTTTTATTCGTCGATCATACATACATTATTGTCTCACGAATTCCTGAGTAAAAGTGAAAAGGCAGTGATATCCTTGAGCAAATTCGTCCAAGGCTGAGCGACACTGCTACGTAGAGACGTGACCGCATTATCTGCGTACCGACATATGGTACATGTACGTAAGTCCGTTTGTACGTTTGCACCAAAGTCGTAAAAGTCCTGGACACCTTTCCTTTCTCCAGCGAAGAGAGTCTGAGCCATTTCACGGTGTCTTTTTTCGCTGAACCACCTCTGCCTCTCTCCGCCGCTTCCTGATATTATCCTCGTTTACTTGCACGTTAACTAGTTCCCCCTCGAGGCATCGAGCTTCATGGGCATATAGATATAGTGAGTTATGTACCCAACATTGAGCACTGTATCAGAAAATATCTACAATAGAGGATTCCAAGAAGAATGAAGAGAAAAGCGTGACGTATCTTTGGAAAATGTTGCCTGTACCATTTACGCAGCATGTTGTTGTGGCAGGTGAGAACAAAGCTTGGAATTTATCCCCCAGTAAGAGAGCTCAGAACCTGTAGAGAGCCTCGTGGGAAGACAAATGGTACACAAGCCAAAAAGGGATGTAATACGTAAAGCGTACCGGCGAGTTGATCGTCCGGTTGCACGCTCCTTCATAGCTACGCAAGTGCCTGCGTAAACCGTGACGCACAAAGTCAGATCAACGAAAAACACCTGTGCTGTTTAACTGTTATACGTGTGATATGCGTACAGAACAGCTATCGGCTCGTCCCCAGGTATACGTTTCAGCTAAATGAATATCCATATCGAAGACACTCGTAGTTTTCATGAAAATTTAAATAATGACGCATACAAGAAGTTAACGAGGTGACAGGGAGTACAGTAACGATGCAACACAATCGATACTCACCATCGGCAGTCTTCTGTTGGGCATCGTTTTTATTGGCCGGTACGTCAGATTCCTGCTTCTCGACGCTGGTCTCCCCGTTAGCTTTCTCATGATGCTCGGGTTGATACGCCGGAGTAGGCGTAGCGCCTCTCGAACTCTTCTCGCTGGTCTTCCTCTCCTTCTGCTCTTTGCCAGAGGGTGGCAGATCGACGAGCGCAGCGACGGCTGATTGACTCTGCGTTTTCCTACGTGGCGGTGAACTCGAGGAATTCTTACTCGCCAGACTTGGGAAAGGCTCGCGTACAGGAACAACGGTGCTGGCACTGGTTGCAGCAACGGCAACTGGAGCAACAGGAACACTCGGGACCTCGGCAACGTTCGGGATTGGCAAATTAGCCGGAACTGCCGTTGCTTGAGGAACACCCGTCGACGTGGCGTCTACCGTTGTAGGACTGACGTCCACTTCGGTGACTTTCTGCGCTGACGACGTGGCCGTTTGTGCAGGTACATTATCCTTGCTCGGTAAGAGCGTCGGTGCTTTGTATTCCTCGGGGACGATGACATGCTTCGTCTCGCTCCTCGGATGGAATTCTTTGACGTTGGAGTGGAGCGGTTTCGACTCCGTTTTCGCGGGATACGCCTCGACCGGGAGCGCGTTACTAGAAGTACCTAACGATTGACTACTGAGCGGCGTCGTGACGCTTGGTATACTCTGCGTCGGCATTGGGGAACTGATATTACACAGATTACTATTAGTGTCGTTATTCTGATTCGATTGGACTTTCAAGTTTTGAGGACTTTGGCTCGCGTTTTGGGACGCGGGTGAACTGGCAGTACTCGTGGCAGCAGTGTTTGTAACACTTATGCTAGTGACGACGTTGGCGCTGCTGTTACTGCTGCCGATGCTACCGGCGGTTGTCACCGTAGCTTCCGATATGCTCGCTGGAACCGGCGACCCGGATTTCGTATCCTCAGCCGCAACCTTGGCAACACGAGCCGCGAATTCGGCCACCACCTCTGCGCTACAGTTCTGAAACAATCACCAAATCTGCGTGATAGACGGTGAAGAGTCTTGTGTGTCGGACGTACGTGTTTAACAACTAAAAACTGTCTCGACACTTCAAATTATACCAGTACAAATGGAAATACAGAATACTCAGGGATACGAAACATAAAAATGGGTTTCAAGATCTATACCACGTCCGTTGCCCCAGAGCCGTAGGTCGCAATACCCTAATGTCAGGAAAAACGGTACAATTAATTTTAAGCAATCTGACAACTTCAAAGGATCTAGTCTTCGTTCGACGAGGTCACGAATTAAGTAGCAGCTTTAAATAGACGTAGATCATTGGAATACCAGCAGAGAACTGCCTTTATGATTCAAATGAAACTAATAGCATCTGTACTGCTGTATTTCTTTTTAATATTTACCAATATTCCGACCACCGTCGAATTTGCAATTGGATCTGGCTTACGTGAACACGGTTTCTCGTTGTCACCGTAATATCGATGAATATCAAAAACGTATAAACCAGAGGCCATGGACTCTTGGGCACAGACATTAATTAAAGCAATTGCTAAAAGAGTTTCCGGACGATCAACGCTCATTATCCCGTAACAACCAGGCACCAATGTTTCTCCCAAAACACTATACCATGAGCATTTCGTTAGAAAAACAGCATTTCAAAACTCCTTTAGAAAATTGCTCGAAAAACAATATTCCAAAGCAACTCACCTGTGGTTGCGGTGTTTCGCGATTACTAGATTCGCCACTCTGCGTGGCTGTGTCGTTGTCGGAGAGATCCTCGTTAATTTTCTTGCCAGTCTTAGGATCGACAATGTCAATAGCATTCTCTCTTCTCCGCTTCTGGTACTTTGGAACACTATTCGTGACGTTCGTTACACCACCGTTGTGTCCCGAATACACGTCTTCAAAGATAAAATAAAAAAGTGTCGCGTTCATTATTTCAATCGAAAAACACAACACACTTACAGAAATAATCAACAGTTTAACTAAAACTATCAAATCAAAAGATCAACTTTTTGATCCTATTGCTAAGGCCAAAGTCGACTTAACAAATATACATATACACCAACTACACTGAATACTCACCATTCTCATCGTAGTACAAGCCGTATACGTTACTTACAACAAACATTATTTACAACGGATGCACGAAATACGTATGACAAAGATTTAAGTCGAAACCGAAGAGAGACGTGTTACGTTGTCGCTATGCTTCGATAGCTAGTACTGACTAAATCTCATTTCTAGAAGCCCTTTTTAAAGAAGGGCCCAACATTGGGACCTTTATACCTGGACGGGACAGATGGACACTTTTGGAACAGGATTTGGAGACCATAGACATCAGACCTTTATGGCAGGACGATACTTTACTCATAACTGTACGCCTGCAGCGATTAAACGAAAGAACATAATACCAAACAGCTACTTAATTATTTCCAAGACAGAAGGAAGGTCTGGTGATAATTTTCCCTCGCGCTCCCATTTGTCAAATTCACTCTCATTTACCAATACCGTACAAATGACAAGTGCGTGTAATAATAAAACGACCATTAAATAACTGTAACCAGTCCTAATGGGAGGTGCCTATATTGAATCCGCAGTAGGTATGCTTAACGGCACGAATTCATTTAAAAAATTCATCAATTAGTTCAATACAACGGGTAACGATGGACTCCGAGCACAGTGGCAGCCACACGAAGAACCTCAAGGAAAATGGAATTCGTAAAAAGATTGAGCACGCTCTGGCAGTGTTTAATTCACAAAAAACATTGATACGAGTGTAGTCAAGTTAGTTTCCTCTAGCACTAGCAGTTTATCAGTTGAACGTAGATAAGACTCTGCTGAAGAGATATGGCACGAGATGACATTAGCACTTGCGATAGGGAGAAGGAGTAGGATACACAAAGAATCGCGCTGTCTATAGACACGACATCTATTCGAAAAAAACACGTAATGTTTGTTACGAATATTAGTAACAGTATTTTTGTCGATTAGCATGCTACTTAAGTATCTTATTCTTATTTCTTTTTCTTCCTCGAGATCACTACGTACTGACTACATACTTACCAGTCTGAGTAAGAGGTATCGCCATCGGGGGTATTGGTTGGGGCTGTTGCGTAGGTTGCGGTATCGTACCTTGAGGTACTACGGTAGCTCCTTGGGCACCGGCCAGCGGGCCTCCGACATGTTGTGCACCCCCGCTAACAGCACCTGCTCCTGGTCTGCCCAAATTTATTGGAGCGCTGGGCGTCTGATAATAGTCTAAAAGAAAATTGCAATTTTAGTTTATTATCGTCAAGATTAATCGCCAGTTACGGCGTAGAACGTAAGATCGGTGTATTGTTGTCCTTCGTGGACATAGAAAAAGATCCTCTAATTGAAGTCATTACTCACATCCATGTTGCGGTGCGGGACCATGCGTGAATCCAAACATATTTTGCGCTAGGAGTGCAGGCGGATAGGACTGATAGAAAGATTGATTTTGATGTCCTTGATGCCTCTGAGGTGGACCCGTGAACTAGAAAGAGAAGGAGGATACTTATCACATTTTCAGTCAATAGTGAAGCTGATATATGATCGCGAGAACACTTAGGTACTTTTATAGTGTATTGTAGTGTGTAGTGGCTTTATCCAATTAAGTGTAAGAAGCTTTGAAATATACATCGACAAGGTAATAAAGTGTATTAGTTTTATACCAAGTAGTTTACGGTAAGGAAAAAGGGTTACACGTTGTTGTATTTATTAAGGTGAGGTTCTTGGTAACGGCCCGATGATGATGCTCGTTCGTTACCAGTTAGACGAAGGATTCGCATCGCAAGGTGTCGGATGGGTGGTAATAAATATAAAGCCAGCGGTACTTAACTACTACCTGAATGGGCATTTGATTGTTCATGGGGTATACGCCCTGCTGATGTGGTCCCGTATGCAAGCTTGAAACCTGCCCCTGGAGATACATTGCACCAGGTTGCATCGCTATACTACCATGATGCGAATACATGGCCGTAGGCTGGGCTCCACCAGCGCCTACTCCTGGCATACCGACAACCTGGGCAGCACCACCCTGACTTCTGTGATTAAGTCCTCTTGGTTGCTGTGGCCTTGGACCAGGTTGATAGTAACCCTGAAAAATTAAAGTAAGTGACTTGTTCCAAAACAATCATTATGTATTTTACAATAATTTTTTATTCAAAGGGATTGGATAGTGGAACTTTGGTTGTTCTTCTGCGACATATACATGCAGAATCTGCATGGCAAATATACAACCATTTTACATAGCACTTGAAAGATAACACATCTCTGTGATTAGTTTGTTGTTAATGAAGAAGTTATGTGCGAGGGGAAATTAATTTTTGAACTCTCGCAGAGGTATCAACTCACTTGTGAAGTTGGCCTTGTCTGATTGGGCATGTAAACTTGCTGCAATGACGGAGGTTGAGCCTGTAAATGAGCCTGTTTCCCCATTTCTTGTGGTGAAGGTGTGTGCACAGGTGGTGTAGTGGTAGGTGCGGGTCCCTGAGGTTGTTGTGGCTGAACGCCGGGAGTCGGGGCTTGTGGCGGGGCTTGCTGTG